TAAAAATGTAAGATGAAAATGTTTTTTCAAAATTAATAAAACGACCATAACTTTGCACCACATGTACGCAATTCAAAATTTCTTTTTCAGATGATAGCTCTAATGTTCATCTACCCAGTGATATACGATAACCAACTAACTATATGTGTATTCATATAGCTAACGTCCATGTACAGAGAGGGGTCAAAACTTTTGGACCATTCTTTATATAAGTAATTTTTCTCCTAATACATAAAAGTCGCGGCAATGCTAACTTTCTCATAAACTCAAAAGCGTTTTTTTCTCGTTAGTTTTATATCATTATCTCGAAAAGTTACGGTTTTTTACAACTTTTCTTTCGAAAAAATTTTCACATTTTTTTCGATTAAAAGCCATGTTTTTAAAAATTAGTGAATAAACATCGACCGTTGACGAAAATCGTTTTTGTATTGTTTAGAAACATAAATATGTCGTCCTCTTACATAACTGATGAACAATTGAAAATAATTTATGCTGAAAATTCTACTTATGAACAAATCGAAATTCTATTTGATCAATTTATTCAAATTTTTAACAAGGATACAGCTATTGAAATTATAGATGCAATATCAAGAATTCCATTAACAAAAATAACCGATAATCTATCATTATCATCACAAAAAATCTTTAAACTAATGTATCATCTTTTAGCTGATATCATGCGAAAATCTAAAGTAACACCACCAACTGATCAAGAAAAGATAATAATGAAAAAAATTTTGGATTTATTTCGAATATTATTCGATCTACCAATGATAGAGAAACAAGAAGATGTGGTAACAAATGGTGATGTTGACCATCTCATGAGAATTTTATCACTTGATGAAACAGTACTTGATTTCATTCAACAAGGTTTGGAAAAAGTAATCAGCACAGATTATGATACGACGATAGCGGACGAGCGTAATGAAAGGATATTAAAAGAAAGTATTCAACTGTTAACAATATGTCAATTGTTTATTGTTGAAGATGTTGAAAACAATGATAAATCAAAATTGAAATTATTCTTTAAAAAGCTTGTTAAATGTGTTAATAGTGATTCGTATATGAATGCATTAAAATGCTTTCAATTATCACCATCAACATTAACTAAACGTAATCAGATATTATTATTTGAGTGTTTTAATTCTATAATGCATAGTAAATATTGTAATCATAAATATCAAAATAAATTTTGTAACAAATGGTTACCTAAATATGAATCTATCTTACATGAATTAGTAACAATAATGCCACTACAATTCCATACATTAAAATATATAATTATTAATTTAGTATTAATGCAACGATCTATGGATAATATGCTCTCATTTCTAATGAGAGGTACAATAGAAGTTATAGTATTTAAAGATGAAAATTTACAAATAATCAATGATCTATTTGGTATTTTGAATAATAAACAATTTATTGAACAAATTGAAATGAAGAATGATGGAAAATCCTATGATTTAGAATATGTGAACAAATATGAAAATACAATAACAGTAACACCAACACCAGTTATGTGTTTAATAATGAAATATATCTTGTTATTAATCAATGGGAATGATGAAATATTTTCAAATATGAAACAAAATCAACAAGCTANAGCTAAAGAAATTTTATTAAAATTAACAACTAATACTAAAAATGCTGACATACTAGCTCATGTCTATAATATCTTAGGATTAATTATGAATGATGCTGATATTAAAAAGTTTGATAATGCATCAGAAATAGTGTCAATATTCGTTAATTATTTAAAACAAGCTGATCGAAATACTTTTGGTACAAGCGACGGTGGCGAACTAACAGATTTATTGAAAACGTTAAAGGGTATGTAAACATGTTTTGCTTTTGCAACAGGAAGATGTCTTGTAGAATGAGGATGAATCAAAAGATAGGACGATAGAGGATAAGTGACACGTCCTGTACGATCAAACAAATTCTATCCACCTATTAGGAAAAAAAGTAGTATCACCGGAACAACAAAAATAAAGTTGGTTTTCAGTTGCTGAAAAGTGCTTTTTCGTAATCAGCACAATGGATAACCCAGAAGATTTTCTAGTTTTGGTGAGGGGTACTTCCAAAACTTTCAACAAATAAACTAATTTTCAAACTAATATTACTTTACAGCGAAAATTTTTTTGCACTACTTTGTTTCAAGATTTTTCCGAAACTTTTCGAAATACCCCTCGCTAAAACTAGAAAATCTTCTGGGCTATCGAGTGTGCTGAATACGAAAAAACACGTTTCGGTAACTCAAAACCAACTTTATGTTTTTTATTTCGATGATATGCATTCCTGAAACCTAGTGTGGTAGTAATTTTGATGGCTCTAGATCCGAAGGAACTGACAGAGGACTCTGGAAGATGGAAGAAAAAAAGTAATAATTAGTCGGAGTATCAGAAAAGATCGTGCTGAAATCGAGCCAAGCAAAGGGCGATGTAAACAAAATACACATTTATGCAGAAAATACAAAATAACACGAATTTAGCGGCTGAGTAGAACCTTAAAAGGCTTAGAACATAAATCAAAATAAAGTGCAAGCGGCAGAGATCACTATCATGCGTTGTTCAGATAAAATCAATGTCGACTTATTTTCACCTGTCTACGATGAAGAAAACCCTGTACTATGCTTTTGAAGTTTTCTAAAGGTCTCTAAACGTCTTGTAGGGTTTTATAAGACTTTTCAGTTTTTTGTGCGTTTTGCGCTTGTCGAAAAATCTTAGACATTTCTTGACAGAAGACCGCATTCACCGCTTAGTGAAGCGATTGTCAGTAAAGGAAAGTGCACTGAGAGTTGCTTATTTTCGGGAGTATCCTATTTATTAGTGTTTTGGAAGTTGGGAAAATGAGTTTAAAGAATTTTACTCTGCTTATGTTTCAACTAGCCTTTCTTCAACATGAACCAATAAAAGATGAATTTATTAAACAAAATGGTTTGGAATTATTAATGAAATTTGCTAGTAAAAACGGAGAGCTTTATCTTGCAAACAGGGAAAAGGAAGAGGATGAGACTGCATTAAAAAAATTTATCGCAGATGAAGTAAAAATTACACACGAAACACAACAATTAGCATTAGAATGTTTTTGGTCAATGTCATTTAACTTAGAAGCAGCTCAACTGTTGAAAAATAATGAAAAATTTATGGAACATACTAAAGCACTTCTAGAACCGCAAAATGGAACTCCATCAGGTTTGAAAAAAGCAGCTGATGGTGTTTTATGGAAACTAGAAAAAGAAAATGAATTTAAACAACAGCAACAACGACCACAGAAAGAAGAATTTGATTTAATGATTAGTTATAATTGGGATGACAAGCCATTAGTATTACGTATCTACAAATGTTTAACTGAACAACATAAATATCGCGTTTGGTTGGATATAGATCAAATGTCTGGATCAGTGTGTGAAGCAATGGCACAAGCAGTTGAAAAATCAAAATTTATTTTAATGTGTATGTCTGAGACATATAAACAAAGTGTTGCATGTAAAAATGAAGCTCTTTATGCCTGGGATAGAAAAAAAACAATAATACCATTAAAAATGAAAACAGTTGATTTGGATGACTGGCTTGGATTTGTTGCAGCTGGTAAGTTATATATCGATTTTAGTAATCAAGATTTTGATAAAGCATTAAAATTATTAACAAATGAAATTGAAAAACATCATTCGAAACAGCAACGGAAACAAGAACCAGTCAATATTGATAAGTTACCAAGAGCATCAGCAGCTCAGACAAATGCAATTCCATCAGGGTATTACAAACTTTATTTTTTTCCTATTACTTTATTCACCTGCTGTATGAGGAAAAAAAGTGTCTGTTCTGTCGAAGTATTCATTTGAGAGAGAGGATGGTACAATGCTTTCTACCGCAAAAGATCGAATTGGATCAGTACGACCTGCTCCAAATCCGACTCAGTCCAAAAATTTTTCAAGATTTTTGAGAAAAGTCACTTTTCTGCTATAAGCGTCAAAATTTTACAATGATTCACATCGATTCGATTTCTGCACTCTACTGAGTATGACGACTCGTCCTCTCCAGAAACCGTAGGTTCTGTAATGCGGATGTTTTAGGGCACACATTACTAGTGCTGTACCAACTGCAATACCTGCAGCAACAGCAACTCGAAAAATGCGAGACCGTCCCGATGTTATCTCAGATGCGTATAAACAAATACCAATTGAATCATGGTCTGAACAACAGGTTATAGATTTTTTATTTGACAAGAAACTAGATTTAATGACTTTAATATGTCAGGAGATGAATGGTGAAGTGCTATATTATCTGTACAAAAAATGCCAACAATCAGATCCATGGCCAATGTTTGATCGATTAAACATTGAAATGGATAAGATACATCAACAAATATTGCCAATATCGGTTTATCTACGATTTTTGAATGAAATACAAAATTTTTTAAAAGCAACATTATTGTAGCAAGAAGCTAGAATACTTTTAAACGAATATGGTGCAATATTTCATAAAACTTTTACTAAAATTTTTTAAGTTTCTCTTATATAACTTTCTTGAAACATCATTCTGAACATATTCTAAACTCCAAACTTTTGAAAGTTTAATTTTCATATTTTGGCTATCCCCAGGAGATAGACCTGAATCTTTTCCGAAATACACATTCAAAACTATTCAGAATATGTAATCGATTAAGACTATATGCCGAGGATTTCAGAAAAACATTTTTGTCGCAACATTTTTTTCTCGATTTCTCATCATTTTAAATCCACTGAAAGCATCCTAAAAGTTGCATTAGTTCAAAACCCCATTGATACCTCTAAACAATATAAAACTAATTCATCATATGTAATTTTGAGTGGTCTTTCTGAATATGATTTTTTAAGACAGAACAAAGTATCCTCGCGTCTCAAAAAAACCACGTTACATAGTTCGTAATAGAAAAATATACTGCTCTTTCTAAATAATCGCCTCCAAAACCATATTAACCGAAGAAGAATTGAACCAATGTATTAGGAGATTGGAGGAAACCACTCAAGAGTGGGGATTAACAATAAGTGTTAAAAAAACCAAACAGCTGAATCAAAACTTCAAGATCAGTTCAACAAATGAA